GTGAGCATGAAGAACCTAATGAACTGTACAAAGGTAAAATTCACATTTATTGCTCCAACCGCTTTTGCTTCTTGCCCTACCCACCACTAGCATATAGGTCCCAGGAAGCTACCTATCTGGGAATGCAGCCCTGTGGCTGAAAGAAGTTTCTCTGCTGACATAGATACAAATTTAGAAATAATGACTTATTTAAAGCCAAGTCTAGAGTTCTGTTGCAGCAATGTTACTGTGCAGAATCGTCTGCTTTCCAACATCACTCCTTTCATACTTGCTTTTAAGTATGTTTAGGAATCACACCTTGTGTGCTTGGGTAAGGTAGGTTGTGGTTTTTTCTCTGGATTATTAAAATGAAATTGTTGGTTATTGTTGTTTTTAATGACAAGAAGAGCTTGTGAATTAATAATGAGGGCTTCAGATGCTCAATTTATATTCATAACATTAAAAAAAATCGTTTGGCATCGCTTCTACATATTCGTTAACACACAATCTTCAGCAACAATAAAGCACACTTTAAGAGGGTCTGGGGTGATTTGCACATGCATTTTTAACACTATCCCATCTGCAGGATTTTATATATACTAAGTATATGACTGTACACTCAAAGAGGTATATTTTTGATCAGGGACATAGGGATATCACATCTCTCAAAAGACAGACCCCCTAACTTGGAAATCATGCCAACTCCCTCTGCTTCCTGTTGCTCAACACAGTATGCTCACATTCATACTTGACACTTCGCTTCCTGGCCCATAATGCAGGGTGATCTCTGGTTCTCAGTTGCTGGCCATGCAAATCGGATTGAGAGGAGAGTAAGGGATAGTATCAATGGCTGTTGCAGTTTTGTAAATTGCTTACAGATTCTGTTCAGAATCAAGTGGCATATAAATTTGGTTAAATAAATAACAAATAGGTTGCTAGGCATTCAGATACATGAGAGCAACGATTGGTACAGCAGCTGATGATATCACACAGGTCCCTATAAACAAATAAACAAACCCAGCAGAGATGTGCAAATCTATCAGTTCCAACCACTCTCTGTTTCTTGTTTTTTGGGTCTTAATATCAGTTATCCACTTTTATGTATCTGTTCCAGATTTTTTTTTAAGTCCTCATGAGAAGCCATCGTAATTTTCATGGGAATTTCTCACATTACCACGCACATTTTCACAAAACAATTTCCCCTAGGTTATTTCCACTAGCATATGCATATTTAAAAAATGTTTTTCTACCGTTCCTCATTTAATCCTTACAACATCCCTTTGAGGTAAGTTGGCTGAGATGCAGTGACTGTCCCAAGATGAGTTCAGTGAGCTGCATAGCCAAGTGGGGATTCAAACCCTGGTCTGCCAGGGTTCTACTCTGACACTCTATTCACTACACCACCACTGGCTTTTCTGGTACATGCATTTTAAAGCACACTTTCTTCATGTACATGTACTGGAGAACCACACTGCAAAATTCAGATGAGGTTGGCCTTCCAAGGATGGCTGAATTTCCATTTCAAGTACCGTTTCAAAAACTATGTAGGCAGAGCTTTCAATGTAGACTGGGACCTGGGAGACCAGGGTTGAAATCCCTATTCAGCCATGAAGCTCACTGGGTGACCGTGAGGGCCAGTCACTCATTCTTAGCCTAAACTACCTCGCAGGTTTCTTGTGAGACTAAATGGAGAGCAGGAGAACCATGGTTGCCACTTTCAGCTCGTTGGAGGAAAAGTGGATTATAAGTGCAATAGAATAAATAATTAAATAAAATGAATAATTACATTAAGTTTCCCCCCCACCCCCCTTCTCCCTGTCTGGTACCAGGCCAGGAGGAGCTCTGAGAGGGGAAGAGGGCTTTCCTTGCAACTCTGAACACCCTTCATAAACTACAACTTCTAGCATTCCTTGGGAGAATCCATGCTTGCTCAAAGTGGTAGAGGACTGTTTCAAATGTGTAGTGCAGATGTGGCCAAAGAGGATTATGATTTATGATAAATATTTTTCCTCCTTTTTTATTTTATCAAAGAACTATAGGCTCTCAGACAAGCTGTAACTAAATGGCATGGCTCCGTATATCTAGTTGTTTGGGGTTTTCTTTTCTTTTTACTGCTGAACTCCCACTGTCTCTTTCTTCCCTTGGTTTTCTACAAGGGAGAGCCCCGGGGTCTGTCGAAGAGACCTCTTTCATCAGTGTTTATGCCCCAATCTAACATTACCACAGCTCATCCATCACAGACTTCTATTTGTTACAAGTCAGTAGAGCTTATCAGGGCCTCTTTCGACCAAAAGCGCCTCCAGTTTTTGATTCTCACCAGGCCAGCCGACCCTAAAACTCTGCTGGTGTAGGATGGAGATGGTCTGCCATCCCTGAATCACACTTCCTAGGCACCCCTGCCCCCCAAAATCACCCGCCCCCCATTCATGCAGATAACCTGTTGTCAATATAATCACACAGAAAACCCTTAAGAACATCCATCTTCAGGTGGATTCAAGTCCTTCAACCCAGAAAGCATATTCAAGTTACACGATATCTTGTCACGGACCTTTGGGTTTCTGCACAGATGCTGCCATATCTTGCCAAATAGCTTGCCTATTTGCCTCTTCTCTCCATTACCACCCAAAAATAACCAACTGGCAACATTTTACCAGACTGATTCAGGAAAAGTCACAGGACTTTAGTGGATGGGAAAGGCAAATTCTGCAAGCTCTCTATAGCCATTGGCTGGGTTGCTGTGATGTAATGAAAGCCTGGAGGCCAGATATGTTTTGTATACAAACTGGAATGATGTTGACTGCTCTAGCAAAGAAGGAATTAGAATTCTTGTTTGTTTGTGTTTGTTTCTTACCTTGTTAAATTCATGCATTTCCCCCCACCCATCTATACATGTGTCTGGCACCTTTTACTTTAAATCTAAACTAAAACTTTATCACAGGCCTGATGAAGTAGCTGCGGTGTTGTATCTTTGTATATGTCTAAGTGAATCTGCTCTTATGTCCCCCTGACTAGCTAATTATGCTGCATCTGTTGTTTGTTCCATTATATAGCACTTTTACATACTTTGTTATGTATAGGAATACTTAGTGATGAAACCAAGCATGTGTGTGCATGTTTTAAGTTGATTGTGTGATTCCTAGTTTTACATTACAGCAGCACATACTCCATGGAAGTTCGTGCACATGGCAGAATGTGGTTTCCCCAAATCCACCCTATAGATATATATCTTCCTAAGTTTCTAGTCCTTTTTTTTTTTTAAGATATTTATTCCAAATTTAAAATTACAGAAAAAGAAAAAACCATACAAAGTAGAATAAACATATTAGGAGAATATGTTTATTCTCCTAAGTTTCTAGTCCTTATGGATAGGAGGATATGCTTGAATGTGATTGCGATCTCAGTAAAGCAGTCTGAAAACCAATTGGTCAGGAGGCAAGGCTTCTAGTTCCTGCATCTCTCCTTGCCTCTCCCTTGCATGTAACAGACACAAAAGCAAATCGTGAAAATTAAAAACTTAAATTTGCATGTTGTATATTGGTTGCCGTAACCTGGTCTGACTTGACACTAGGCTGCAGTGCCTACAATAGCTTTCACTGTCATAACCCAGCTTTCACGTCTGTACAGAGGAACAGACTGTATTGAGGATTTGTTTCAGGTCAATTACATAAACCTTGTTCAGCTCCTTTCGCTTTGCATCTGGACTTCAGTTCATTTGCAAAGAGAAAACTTCCAGAATCTGAAGGGGGGTTTTTTGTGTGTTGTTGTTTTTTTTTTAAAAAACCCCAAACTATTTGCATTTATCTCTGGGCGCATTATAATTCTTTTTCTTTTGATGGATCAAGAGAGAGAGAAGGGGAAATGCCAGAGGAGTCTGTCTAAAGTTATCCATGCATTTTTAAAGCCATGATCGTCACAATATCCAGGCTCCATTAATAAAACAATCTCCAGCAAGCACTAATGGCCCACAATTATCTTGGCGTTTTTTCCTGAAGTGGGGGGGGGGACACCCCTCCTTGGTATTTTAGAGTGTGTGCAAATACAGGAAAACATTGCGGAGATCAACGTCGGGGGTTTCAGCAGTTGGAAACCATCTTCCTCATGGAAGCCAGAGAGGAGGCCTGCTGTAGCAATTAACTTAAAACATACATTTGGCATGGGGAGTGCTTGCCATCTGATGTAAACAAATATGGTGTGCTTTCTCTCTCCCCCACTCCACTTCCTCATTTGCAAACCGAGCTCCCTTTCCTTCCTCCAAACCCTCGGCTTTAATTGGTGTGAAAACGCCCTAGGATTGCAGAAAAAGAGAAAGAGGGAAGGTTGGGGGGGGGGATCTCGTGATGGAGAGGAAAACAGTATTTTTTGCAACCTGCTTCTATTTTACTGTATTTGCCTTGGCTGAGAAGGCAGAGTATTTTTCTGATTAGCCAAAGTAATTTCTAAAGTAAAGCTGCAAAGGCGGTGGGGTGTTGGGGGAGAGGAAAGAAACGAAGCGTAAAATCTGAGACACATGAAATGCCTTTGTCAGGCTCCTCCTGCAAGTTGTGAGAAGGCATACGAACATCAGAAGTTGCCATGTGTTATCAGAGCACAGGTCCCTCTATCTCAGTATTGCCCACCCTGACCAGCAGTGGCTATCCAGGGTTTCAGAGATGCTGGGGATTCAATGTGGGACCTTCTGCCTGCAAAGTATGTGTAATACCACTCAGCTATGGTCCTTCCCATAAAGATAAAGTAAGGTTCTAGTCCTCATGGAACTGATTTTAAACAAGAACCCAGGAAGATGCCTTACACTGAGTTAGACCAATTGGTCTGTCTAGCTCTGTATTGTCCACACCAGGCATAGGCAAACTCGGCCCTCCAGATGTTTTGGGACTACAACTCCCATCATCCCTAGCTGACAGGACCAGTGGTGAGGGATGATGTGAGTTGTAGTCCTAAAACAGCTGGAGGGCCGAGTTTGCCTATGCCTGGTCCACACTGACAGATATCAGCTCTCCAGGATTTCAGACTGGGTTCTCTTCAAACTCTACCTGGAGACCAGAGACTGAACCAGAGACATTATGCATGGAAAGCAGATGCTCTACCACTGAGCCACAGCCTAACCCTGAAGGCAATGTAATGATGAATGTCTGAAAGGGAAATCTGACAGCCAGTTTCTCATTTAACCTTTTGCTCAGATCCAAACACACAAAAGCACACACCAAATTGCAGCATTGGGAGAACAACGCCATTAATTTTGCCACAAGAGGAAATGTCACACTTTTTTTAGCAGATTCCACCTCCCTCCTCTCTCTCCCAGTTCTCTGGCACTTGCAAGGAAACTGGTCTTGAGAAGGCTGTCAAAGTCTTAACAGTAGCAATTACCTTATAATTGGGGGCCATCCGCTGGTGATTGATGGAAGGCTGAAAAATGTATCTTGTCATGCGCTAATAACCTTGATAAGATGCTCCACTTGAGACTCATTGTTTCCTCTTATCTCAAGGGAGATAAGGAAGGATCAGTGAGACATCTCATGTCTGCAAGAAGGGAAAGCTGCAACCTGAGTACAGCATCGCTTCCTCTGCAAAAGTGCTCTAGAACTTCCAGAAAAGTTTATTTAAAAAAAAAATGTGGGAGGAGACTGAAGTTTTCCCTATTCAATTTTATTTCCAGTCCTTAATGGACAATTTTGTTGGAACCCATCAAAATACTTAAAGAAAAGTAGGCATTGTTGTATTGCAAAATCACAATAGTTTTTGAACTTTTGTATCAAAATTTGCCCCAGACTGCCTTAGAGACCAAGGACTGATATTGGATGGCTTTAAAAGAAGATTGGACAAATTTCTGAAGGATCTGTTTTGCATGCGGAAGATCCCAAGTTAAATCCCCACCAGTCCCTGTTAAACTTTGGAACTCACTTCCATAGGAGGCAGTGACAACCAGCATCATAGAAGACTTTAAAAGAGGATTGGACAAACTCATTGAGGAGGGGGCTATTGAAGGCTACTAGGCACAGTGGCTGTGCTCTGCCTCCACAGCTGGAGGCAACAGTGCTTCTGAGTACCAACTGCTGGAAACTGCAATTGCTCTTTGTGCTTGGGTCCTGCTTGCTGGTTTCCCGCAGACATCTGGTTGGCCGCTGTGAGAACTGCATGCTGGACTAGATAGATCCAGCAAGGCTCTTCTCATGTTCCTACTTTCTTAACTACATACTTGGCAAAAAAATAAGATAATGTGAGATAAGCCTTCCTGACCCAACAGCATTTCATATTTTAGGTGAGCCAATTGTACAGTAACTGCTTGCCTGCATGGAGAAAAAAAATAGCACATTGAGGAGAGAGGAAACCTAGTACCTCTTTCTCTTATGTGCTATATTTCTCCATCTACAAAGCGTTTTTGTCTTTTGCAGGAGGGATGGAAATGTGCTTCCCTTCCCCAGTGCTATATAAAATTGTACAGTCTGGGATGGACGACATACCATGATATTGGTAAGTGTGCATCATTGCCCCCTATCATGTTCTTGGTAGAGAGAGAGGAAAGTGAGGATTATGATAGGTCATGGGTATTTCACTCATTCTGGTTATCCAGGGATAAACACTGGCTGGCGGCAGCTCTACAGGATTTAAGGCAGGGAGTCCTTCCCAGACCCACCTGAAGATATCTGGGATTGAACCTGGGACCTCCATGCAAAGAATGTGCTCAAACATTGAGCCATGGTCCTTTCAACATGCAAGTGTGAATTCTAAGATATCTGTTCTGTTTTGGTTACGTTGACTGCCTATTCATTACTGAAACCTATTGTTTTGGCCTTTCAAGCTCTGAATGATTTGGGACCTTATTATCTGAAGGACCACGTGAATCTATATGAGCCTGCCCAAGCAGTAAGACCAGCGTCTGAGACTCTGCTATCTGCCCTGCCAGCAATATCCATTCTGCTGGTAGGGACTAGGGGCAGGGCTTTTTCAGTGGTGGGCCCACAATTTGGAACACCCTCCCCAGGGAGATTTACATGATCTCATTGCTGTTGGTCTTTAAGAACATGCTGAAGACACATTTATTCAGATCTGCATTTGCCTAAACTGTGTGGAACTTGAAAAAATATTAAGCTGTTGATGACACATGGGGGGGGGGGAGAAAAAATTGTATTTTCATGCATTTTAGAGAAGAATCCTTGAGCCCTTAGGTTTATGGATGCTGTTGGACTACAACTCCCGTAATCCACAGCCAGTTTAGCCAATAGTCAGGGGTGATGGGAGTTGTAATCCAACAACATCTCAGGGAGGCAGCACTGCTTATACAGCCTTGTCAGTTGCCTCATGAGGACAGTATACTTTGAAAGGTGGCTTAAAACCCTTTAAAAAATGTGGTGGTCTCAGTTCAGACCCAGTCAATATACAACATAGGGAATGGAATGTGAGGGTGAAACTTGTGTCTGAACCTCCTTAGGACATTCTTCTCTTCAAAATTTGTGAAAGATGGTATTAGTGCAAATGGTTCTTTTTTTTTTTAAAAGGGAGTGGAGCCCAAAGATGGCTTCCCCTCTTCTTGAGCCCGCATGCATATCCGTGTCACTGGGTACGTGGCCGGCCCAATTACTTATAATAAACAATTCCGTTTATCTTTATCAGAATCATTATCTAAATTGGCTACATGACACATGCAGTTTCCCTAACAGCGCCCCTGGGAAAAAGCCTGCTATAAAAATCTGTGATTCTGTACTTGGTAATTATCCCTCCATGGGCTATAAACCATTACACTTGTGTTTAAAATAGGTATGGCTGGTGCATTCTGCCACGCAAGACCCCAGGAAGGGGGTGGAGGACACAGGAAAGATGTCCGCTTCCAGTTTGCAGGCTGCTTATGAAAGGCGGTTTCTCCATATTCATTTTCTCCATGCCTTGCATAACTTCAGACACTTCTATCATGTATTCATTTGTTGCCCTATTACTTGACATTAGAACATATGAACAGAAGAAGAGCTTACTAGATCTGGCCAATCCTGTTCTCCCAGTGGCCAACCAGATTCCTGTGGGAAATCCACAAGCAGGACCTGAGCACAAGAGACTTCTCTCCTCTGCTGTTTCCAGCAACTGGGATTCAGAAGCCTTGCAGCCTCCAACCACAGAGGCAGAGCATAGCTATTGTGGCTAGTAGCCATTGGCAGCCCTATCCATGAATGTGTCTAATCCTCTTTTAAAGCCATCTAGGTTGGTGGCCATCACTGTCTTCGGTGGGTGTAAGTTCCATAGTTTAACATTATTTGGCCTAGGTTAAAAGCAACAAACGATATGTGCCTTAGACAGTTTGCATCCATACATTCTACTTGACTGGGGAATGCAACATCTACAGATATGAGGTAGAGAGCAAAAACCTAAAAACTGCAGATCTCACAGCTCCCATTTAGGAATGGAAGAAGACTATTTTGATTAAGTTTGCTTTTAATGGCAAACCTACCTAATTTTCACTTTCCAAAGCAACATGAGAACCAGATTATAGCTGTCCTTCATAATTTGCACTGCTCTGAATTTGGGGGCATATGCAAAAAAAAGAGAAATGTTTATTGGGGTAAAGTGTGCAAATAAATACACCTATTAGTGAAAATAACCTACAATAAATGCATTGTTTTGGGGAAATTGCTTGGCACAGATGTGTATATTACACAAAACTGCACACACAGATATGTATATTAGGCGAAACTAGCATTTATATATGCGTGGATTTTCTTGAGGACTAATAATAATAATAATAATAATCACAAACTAGTGGAAATGTGAAAAACTAGGGAAATTGAGAGAAAAGGAAATTGACAGAACAACCCATTCCTATTTAGGCCACATTCAAATTCATACCATACATTTAAAGCACCATTATATCTTTTTAAACAATCGCCACATTCCACACACACACATACAAGAATTCTGAGGGCTGCAGTTTTTTAAGGGCACTAAGAGTTGTCAGAAGGCTCCATTCCTTTCCCAGAGCTACAATTCCCAGATTTCCCTGGAGAGAGAGAGATAGGTTGTTAAATCTCTCTAAGAACTGTAGTTCTGTGGGAGAGAAGAATCTCCTAACAATTCTTAAGCACCCTTAACAAACTCCAGCTCCCAGAATTCTTTGGGGGAAGCCATGACTGGTTAAAGTGGTACCATAGTGGTTTAAATGAATGGTGTGGATGTGGCCTCACTTTGGCAAAACTGGAGCACAACCCCGCCCCCCCCCCCCCCAAAAAACCCTCAATATATTTTTGAGGCTCCCAAAAGTAAGGACACTGTGAAACAGGTCAGAGTGTATGAGATTTAAACCTGATTCATGCACATCTTTGCATGCACATCACTTTCAGCATGATGAAGCATCCTCCAGAATAGCTGAAGAAACATCCCCTCCCGGCCTAATTAATTTTCCTTTTTCCAGCATCCTCTGTGTTTCCTGTTATCAAACCTAGAGAAGAACTTGCTGGCCTGGTCCGTCCCGTCCTCTCTCGTGCCTTCCCTCCCTCCCTCCTTCGCTGACTTTTGTTTTTCCTAGCATGTTTTGAGAAAACCCTCCTTGCGAAGGACTGCAGAGTCCGGCTCGCACAGTGCCACGCCAGCGCTTCTCCCCATGATTAAAACAAAACATGTTGAGTTTCTCTCAAGATTGAGGAAGCCCAGCCTCCCATATCTCGCCACTGTGAAGTGCCCCCTCCACCATCCCTTTCTAGCTGACTCTGCCACACTCTCAGAAGATCACTAACAAGGAGCTGGAGGGGTCATGTTTGCCCTCAACTTGCCACTTTTCATGCTTGGCGTGTTTTTCTACTGCCCGGTCCCTTCGCCGCAGCAGGGTCAGGAGGGCCCACAGAGTAAGGGATGAGGTGAGCGGGAGATGCAGACAAGGGGATTGGGTTACGCCAACAACAAGGAGAAGGAGAAGAAAAACTCAGGGGAAAAGGGGGCTTTGGTTACCAAATGTATATTATCCGTGACTAGTGGGCCCTTGCGGAGATGTATCAAATTTACAGCGTTTTGTTGGTGGGGCTTTTGATCCCACCAGCAGGCAAAGAGGCTGCTTAAGTTTATTCTTGTAAGGAGAAGGATAGATTCGTTTGGAGTTTTGCTGGGAGAAGCCCAGTCTTTTCAG